GTTGAACCCTATTTTTCAGATTTATGGTAAAGTCAAGAATTCAACTTTCAGAGTCTTCCTTTAGATTGTGATAGCATAATTATGGCAATATAGCATCATATATTTACCCTAAATATTGGACTCATTAGACTTTACTGAAATTATCTGCTTATTTAAAAAAAAACAAAACAAACAAATAAACAAAAACATGGTGGAGGCTCTTTGAAATGAAATAATCTTATTTACTGCTCAGAGATCTTGATGTGATTTATAACCATTGAATGAATACATGGATGGAAGGATCAAAGGCAAAGAGGAAGGCAGGAAGGAAAGAATTGATTCTGAGCTGAGAACTTTCCTTCAGTGTTTTGTGATAGACTGGCAAATATGTAAATGAAAATAAATGCCAAGACCTTAAGCTTTTTACTTATGATTTCTTTTATTCTGAAACCTGTTATAATCATCCCAGTAGATGACTGTAGACTTCCATAATTTCTATATCCTAATATATCTTTTTCTCATTATTCCTTCAATTTCATATTTTTTCTGTGCTCTAAAAAGACTTCCTCGAATTATATCACCTGATATGTTTGTGGCACATTCTCATAACGATATTTTGCTTCATAAAGTACATCTTCAATAAATTCATTTTTTTCTGAAACTCTTTAGTACATTAGAGCAATTTAATGACCTCAGCAACTTTATAAATTGCACCACAAGTATTTTTTTCCTATTGTGCTTAGAAAATAAAATACAAATTACCATTTGTATGTGCAAGTAAAACTACGAGGAGTAATGAAAACAGTATTAGACAGAATATTGGCCACTGAAGATGTCTAGGCCCCACTCCCTAAAGTTTGTGACTGTGCTAACTTTTGTGGTAAAAGATTCTTTTCAGTTGAGATAAACATTGAGGACTAGAGGTGAGAAAATTATTTTGGAGTAGGATGGTGGGCTCAACTGAATTATGAATGCTTAAAAGTGTAAGAGAAAAGCCAAAGAGAAGCTCAGAGAGATAAGGATGTAATAGAGAAAGAAGATTAAAAGTAATAGGATGTGACCCAACATTTGCTGGTTTGGAAGATGGATAGCACAAGGCAAGGAATGATGACAGTCTTTAAAGCTGGGAATGGTCCTTAGCTGACAGTCACCAACTAAGTAAGGGTCTAGTGAACTATAACAGCAAAAAACACAATTCCCCAAACCCTGAATGTGCAAATAAAGAAGACCCAGAAAGAAATCTTGTACCTCCTTAACACTGATTTTATTCAGGGAGACCCTGTATTAGTTTTATATTGTTATTATAACAAATTACTACAATCCTGGAGACTTAAAAGAGCACAGAAGTATTACTTTACACTTCTGTAAGTCAGATGTTCAGTGCTGGTCTCACTAGAGAAGTCGTGTTGACAGGAGGTGTTCCTTTTTCAAGCTCAAAAGGAGAATCAATATCTTGCTTTCAGCTGAGGGATAGTCCCAGAGGTCACAGCTTTCTTTGGCTCATCCCCCACTTCTTTAATCTTTCAAGTTAACAATTTTTGGTAGAGTCCTTTACATTCCCCCCCTCTTTTGACCTTTTCTTCTGACTTCCTCTTCTCTTCTTAAAGAATCATTAGATTATATTAGACCAGATTAGATTAAATTCTTTTAAAATGAGTTTTGTATGTCAAGGTTGTTAACATAATCACATCTACAAAGTCCCTTTTTCCAAATAAGCCCAATTGCTCTTGTGAATAGAATGTGGATGTCATTGGAGGACCTATTATTTTGGTTTTCATAGACTCTTCCTGGACTTCTGTCCTGAAGAACTATAAAATAATACATTTGTATCGTTGAAATCCAATAAATTTGTGGTAATGGTAATTTGTTATGGCAGACATAGACAACCAAGGTAAGTACCAATAGCACTTTCCAGAAAATAACATCTATTTCATGCTTTACAGTTCTAAGAACAAGAATTATATATACGTGTCCTGATTTAGTCTTATAGTGAGCACTTTTATTAGCATACATTGGAAAAAAATCTAATGTAGAATTTCAATTACATATAGACCAAACACTTAGGTTTCAGAATTTGTTCTGGGTTTCATACCTGTCACTGGGTTCTTTAGCAAGATACTTAGCCACTTTGACACTTATTATTGATTCCATTTATAGATAACTCTAATTCAACTGTGAATGATTAGGTCCAGGTCCCTCTATGGATAGCAATTCTGCCCACCACCACCCCCACCATAAAATGGCATAATATTTGTATGTAACCTATGAACATTTTCCACATACTTTAATTTCTAGATTGTTAGAAACAATGTAAATATAAATGCTATGGAAGTATTTTCTATACTGTACTGTTAGGGAATACTGAGAAAGAAATATCTGTTCATGTCCAGTACAGACACAATTGTTTTTCAGAATATTTTCAATCCATGTTTGGTTGGATCTGTGAATTCAGAATTCATAGATACAAAAAGTTAACTGTAATGGAATTTACCTCATATGTTTATTGAAAGAATTATTTTACTAAAAAGCATTCATCATGATACTATATACATAATGATAATTATGACTAAATAAAAGGCAAATACTATTATTGTTATTTAGGGCAGAATGGTTAATCATTATTAAATAAGAAGGTTAATCTACCTTTTCTAATAGAATTCAACATTATCTGGACTTTCTACACATTTTCTTTAATCATATAGTAAAAAAATATATAGATCCCATGTCAGACATGGACTAAGATGTAGACATTTATTTCACTGACTTATAACAGGAAAAAATATTTTTGAAGTTGCTAATAATTAAATAACTAATAGCAAACATGCATGTACTATATAAAATTACTACAAACTTTTTGTTTCATTTTATTTTGGTTTTTACAAGGATGTAATGGGATCTACTAGACTAGGCAGTGAGTAAATTGGAAAAAGGTTTTTGTAGTAGGTACTGTTTGAGTAGATACCTGAAGAGTGAAAAAAAAGTTTAGTCGGTAATCAAAGGGTAGGATGTTTCAGGCCACAGAGAGATGAACTGAATAAGGAGAATGCCAGACATAAGGACTTAATCACAACTTGAAATTCTCACCAGAAACCCAAAGCAAAAGGCATTTTTGAATGCTGTTTTTGGACCAATGACTACTAGAGATGGTTACATAAGTATACCTATAAAATTACACACAAGCTCCTGTGTGAGGGCACACACACACACACACACACACACACACACACACAAGAGAGTGAATCAGAAAGTTTACATTGTCCTTGAGAATTCAGGAAGAGAGGGTGACTCCAATATGTAATCAATCTTCAGCTTAATCTACAGATGTTCTGGCATGCCTAAACCTGTGCATTATAATAATAGCTAACATATTTTTTACATTGTTTTCATGTGTGTCACACAGTGTTAGAAGCTTTTCAATTGTAATTAACTTGCCCCTCACGACAATAATATAAGGCTTATTCTATTATTATATTCATATGGTACAGACATGAAAGCTATATATTAAGTAATTTGTGTAAGGTCACATACCTAACAAATGGCAGAATTTGGATTTGAGTCAGGTAATCCAACTCTACAACACACATCCATAACCACACAGTATTTGCAATACACATAAGAGATACTTTCATGATACCAGATATGCTTGTGAGTAACAAGCTTCTGGGAAAAATTACACTCATAAGTGTACATTAACCTTCCCAACTATATTTTATAAGTTCAGTTGCAGAGTACCATCTAGTAATAACTGTCTATGCAATCCCAACAAAATATCTTTTTACATGTCAATCTTGAAAAGTGTAATAACTCTTCATGAGCAAAGTTCTGAAAAATAATTGAAATGAGTCTGCAAAGCAGAATCCAGCCAGGTATTTATCATATGTGCATTTAGAGATTAGTAACTGAGACTGGAGTTCCTACAAGAGGTTTGAGTATTCCTTAGGAGGTAAAAGTCCTAGGACATGGAGACTGATGGATGACGGAGATAAAAGGAACTGTCACTGTTAATGCTCAGGTTTCCGGCTTGCACAACTGGGTCATGATCAAAGCTCTCACTGGGATTAAGAACATAAGAGGAATTATAGATAGAGCAGGAAAGGTAAATCGGATTTGGTTGGGTTGGTATTGACATGGTGATGAGACATGCAAGCAGGGATGTCAATTTGCGTATATGTACTTAAGAGTCAAAATACAGATATAGCTAAGTAGATCACTTTGGAGCTTGTCAATGTGCAGACAACCATGAAATGCAAATGAATAAACAAGATCCCTTGAATCAGTATATTGATTCAAGGAACAGAAGATAATGGAGGGACATGAAGATCTGAAGGATTTTGTAAAAGTGAAAAGAGAGATATCCTTAGAGATGAGAGGAAAACTATATCCTAGAAACTAAAGGAAGAGAGGTTTTTCTTGCAAATATTTTTCTGAAATATATAATACTCTAGGAAAATATCAGGCTACTGTGAATAATTTTTTATGTGATGTAACAATGTTCAGTTGTCTTACCAAACTGAAAATCCAAATCTAGAGTGGCGAGTATAGAACTCTTTCTGATCAGGTTTGTATCAGATAGATGTTATAAAGATAGCTTATCCTATTTTTCTGCTTCCTTTTGAGGATGGTCATAAAATTGGCATCATTGAAAGCTGGTGGAAATTCTTTTGTTCTCTGTTTTTTGAGAAATCTCTTATCACTGCCCAGAAGAGAACATGCACAAAGGAAAACTGTTTAGATTATAAGCAGTACTTATCTTTTTTCCTAAAAATTGTATTTAATGTTTTGTTAGTTTTTATGATCTTAAGAAAGCTCTATGATAACTTTATAGATGTTGTTCTCATGCCTGTCAACACCTGTGACTTTAAGATGTCATCAAGGATGACAATTCTTTAAAATTCTTTTTTTTCCCATAACTCTGAAAAGAAGTGGCAACTTCTTTAATTGTTAGTATTTACTGTACAGAAATTCATTAATTCATTTATCAACATATTTATGCAATAAGTATAAAACATATTGTGTTTCAGGCATTACACTTGAGCTAAGGACACAGAAACAAAGAAAAGAAGATGTCACTACACTGTTGGACAATGTCAAAATCTATGACCAGAAGAGGACTTCCATCTCACAATGTGTGTACATGTCATCCACATTTATAAATGGGTGATTAAAACACCTTATAATGTCTATATTTATAATAGATGTGCTAGGATAATGTCCATCCCTCATAAGCACTGCAGTCTTGGTTTGGGTGATGGATGGTTCTTATGTATTTGGTTTTCTACATCCTTTCAGCTTGGACTTACTCTTCCATTTGGGGGCGATAAATTGAGTAGTATTTCATGTGAGAATTGAAGTGTTCTACATTGTAATTTTGATGCACTATGCCCAAATCCTCTCACTGGAGATAAGAGAAAAGAGGTATAAACTAACCAAGTGTCTAAAGACAAGAGTGGTTTTCTTGCACATAGCAGTAAGTTAAAGAATTAGCACAAAAGAAAACAGGACAATAAAATACAAAGAGGCAGCCAAGCACATTATAGACAAATAGTGAACTCCAGGGTTTATATCCTTGGCAAAGCAATTCTAAGTTTCAAATCTGGAATTCACTTCTGATAAGATCAGAGTGATAACAGAGGCAGGTTTAGTTTAGGATGGAAATAGTTATTTGTGTAAAAACAATAGAATGCTTAGTGCCTATCTTTTGGGAGAGCCGCTACACAGTTAATGGAAACAACAGATGGCTTAAAGTACCAGAAGTCTTGTGGGAGAAAACAAAAAAGAGATGTTGACCATGCTTTTATACTTTGTGTCTAAAAGTCCTTATATCAATGTCATATTATTGATACTTTTTGTAATATCCATTCACTTGCTCTACAGCTATTAGGTTATGGGTTATGCAATGCATAAATATATTTGCTGGCAATTCTAGCTGTAATACAGACCTTGTTCTATAGTGGGATTGGAGAAGAATTCAGAACTATGATTAGGTGGATTGTGCCATCAATCCAGAGATACATAGTCAGTAGATGTGAATGGCGCTCTTCTGGAGTTACCGGATGTGATGCTCCTGGCATTGGTGAGATTGTGTAATACCACTGTTTTGTAGTTTTTCTCTATCTTCCAGCATCTGCCATTTTGTCCTTCAGGATAGAAAAAAAAAAAACAACATTTGTGCTTCTTCTTTAATTCTGAAACTATAATTTGTTACCTTTAATTTTATATATGCATTTTGGGTAGACTTAAAATCTATTGTGTTTATTCCTATCCTTTAATACTTGTTTTAGTCAGCTTTTTTACAGCTGTGACTAAAAGATATGATCAGAACAGTTATAGAGGAGGAAAAGTTTAATTGGGGACTCACAGTTTCAAATATGTCAATCTATAGACAGGAGGCTCCATTTGTCAGGACTCAAGGTGAAGCAAAACATCATGCCAGAAGTGTGTGGCAGGAGGAAGCAGCTCAAAGGATGATCAGAAATCAGAGAGAGGTCTCTACTTGCCAGATACAAATATATACCCCAAAGCTACTCCCCCAATTCCCACCTCCTCCAGCCACACCCTACCACTTCAGTTACCACTAAGTTAATCCCCACCAGGGGATTAATCATTGATTGGGTTAAGCTGTCACAACCCAATCATTTCTCCTCTGAATCTTTTTGCATTGTCTCATATGTGAGATTTTGCAGGACACTGCAAATCCAAACCATAAAAATACTTAATAAGGCTATTGTTCATATTTTTCCATGTTTAAACAGCAAAATGATGATACATACACTCATATCTACCATATATCCTTATTTATTTAAGGATTATAAAATAGTGATTACTCAAATAGTTTATCACGTATGCATATTATAAAAGGCATGCATTTTTATGGTACCATTTTTTAATTGTGTCAGTACATAAAAATAGGAATATTCAAGTAGCATTTTAATATCTAAAATAATTCAGACCCTAATAAATTCATTTTTAGAGTCTCACAATAGTATACCTCTTTGGTTGTGATTGTCTTTAATTAATTCAGCTACACTTATTAGTGCTCTCTATACTTTAATGTATATTTATATTATTCTTACTCATAATTTAATTATAATTTCAAAATTCTTACTGGTAAATAAGAATGAGTCCCCTATATTTCAATAGTAGTAGAAGATACTCTTAAACTTGCCATATCTTAATTATACAAGTGAAATAAGAAGAGAAGAGGGGACAATAGAAAGTAAATGTTATATCAGTGCTGAAGTTGGATAAGGGAACTGAGATAAGCTAGAAGAATGATGAAACAATCAGATTTTAAGAATCTGAACTGTATTGATAACTTATTTTCGTGAGCTTACATATCAACTATCTCCTCAGAAATTTAACTATCCCCTATCTATAATTTGGCATCAGCCAGATAAATGGAAAAATAATTCCATATATTTAAACACTTGAGGTTTCAATTAGCAAAGTCATAGTTACCTGGATGAAAGCCTGTGCCGTAGCTAACATGGACCCAGACAAGCAAACCCACAGGGGAAAATTAACTAATTGATGTGGGGTTTAAATCTGGAAGGCCATAACTAAATTTCATTTTGTTTCATTCATTAAAATTAAATCTTCTTATTAGTTTTCTAACTTATATGTCATTGCAATAGTTCTGGTAATTCCAGTAAGATGAAGACAAAAATTACTTTGACTTTTGGAAACTGAACATTTAATGGAAGACTTGCTTCATTTGTTGTTCCCTGTGATACTCACTGATATGTGATGTTCAGAGACCTGTGCAAAGACAGAAAGGGTCCTTGCTCTCAAAATTCACACAGTAAAGCTTTCTTTGTCACACTTCTCATAACCAGGGTCCTTACTGCCCAATCATTCTCAGCTTGCAACTCAATTAAAATTCTGTTATGAAAGAAACACGTTTTCATTTCAAATATCATTCACTTGAGAATGTTCTTTATCTGTGGTTATATCTTTATGTTTTTAATTCACTACTATACTGCTTTTAGCCAAGTAGAATGTTCAGATTATCAAAAAATAAGACTATACTTGTATTTATAACCATGTAACTCTTGGTTTTGATATCATGAAGATTTTTTCCTGAACTTTCTTGAGTGACTTGTAGATAGTGTTTACAGCCTAAACTTCTTGGCAACATTAGTAATTTTGGAAACAGAAATGCAGCAATGATTTTATGGATCTTTATACTCTTATCAAGCTATCTGGCTTGAAACCTTGTGTATGGTAGGAGATTTCCCCAAAAGAAAAGTAACATTTAGTTAGGTTAGGTGTCAAGTTGCTAGCTTACACTATATAAAAGTCAATATGTACCAAGTCATATTAGTGAATTTCATCTACACTGCTAGGAGGTTGTTGAACTCAATTATAGAAATGTGCAGAGCTCTATTTGATGTGTAAGGAGGTTAGGAGACCACAATCAATTAAAAAGAACACATGTATATCCTGTTCTGGGAAACAGTTGTTTTGGTATCCCTTGTTCTGCTTCTGCTTTTTTTTTTTTTCTCTGAATTTTCCTCTGAACACAAGAGAACAAAGAGTTTAATAATTCCCTAGTTTCATTTGGAATTGTTTTGTCAGCAATATCTAGTAAGAAGTCATGAGTTTGTGTTTTACTTGAATGAAGCCTCAGGCTACTACAATTAAACATGCTGTTGTGTTTTTTTTTTGTAGCAAAATCATTTGAAAATGGACAATATTTGGACATTTATGGAATTACAAGGGACCAGGCTGGGGAATATGAATGCAGTGCGGAAAACGATGTGTCCTTCTCAGATGTGAAAAAAGTAAAAGTTGTCGTAAACTGTAAGTCTCATCACCATTTATCAAGATAACTTCTGATAAAATATTAAATACTGTGGAAAAAATATTGTCTGAAATTGCTGCTGCTATTTTTTTAAAGGTGGTCTATTGGTAACTATCACCTGCTGTCAGTGAAAAAGTATACCTGTTGGAATATTGATCAAATTGTTCGTGTAACATCAGCTGTCCCAGCCAGTCCCCCAGAATTATATCTTTTCCAAAAGATAATTGTTTTTTATTGTTTTTTTTTTGGTTCGTTTTAGTTATACATGATAGTAGAATCCATTTTGCTATGTTTATACAAGCATGGGCTACATCTCATTCTAGTAAGGACCCCCTTCTTGTGGATGTGCAGACAGCATTTGATTTTATGAGCAAATTGAAATGTTTCTAGAAGGTGGCACCTTCTCTTTCCTCCCTCATGGGTTTCCCCTGGTGGACACAAGAGGAAGTTTAAGTGTGTAGCTCTATTCAGACTTGATGAAGCCAAAGTGTGATAGTCTCTACTTATGGAGAAGACCTGTGCTGTGATGCTTATATACTACTTGAACAGTTTAATTGTATTTAGCTTGGAAATGTTTGAAAAAAATAAGAAAGATGTTTTCTATTGTTTTTGCTGCTGTGACTAAAGCCCTTATCAGAAAACTTGTAGAGGGGGAACAGTTTATTTGTGGGCTCATGGTTTCAGAGGTGTCTGTCCATAGATAGCTGGCTTCATTCCTCAGGGCTCCTGATGAGGCAAAACAACATGGCAAAGAAGTATGGAAGAGGGAGGCAGCTTAGATGATGATCAGAAAGCAAAGAGAGAGACTATACTCACCAGATACAAACTATATACCCCAAAGCCATGCCCCCAATTCCCAGCTCCTCCAGCCACACCCTACCCACCTTCAGTTATCACTCAGATAATCCCTATTAGGGATTAATTCACTGATTGAGTTAAGACTCACAACTCAATTATTTTCCTCTGAATTTCTTGCATTATCTTACACATGAGCTTTTGGTGGACACCTAATATGTAAGCCATAACACCATGAACATCATTATTAGAAAGTTAGAATATAAGTCAGCTACTTGCAGAACCATCAATGTTATTAAATCACACCCTTTATCTAAATGCCTCCAAAACACTTGAAATAAGACAATTTTCTAATAACATCCTATTGCATATCTTATTGTCTCATAATAATGACTTTACTCTTTAAAAATGCCCCTTAGTCTTTCTTTCAAAAACGTTCACATCCTCTAACTTTTTTCATATAAAACACCTTTAGGATAAGAATGCTTTACCAGAAGTATAAACAACCTGTATCTTACTTTTTTCATTCCATTTATACATCTTTCTGCATATGACCCTTGGTAATAATTGCACATTGTATAATGCCACAGATCAGAGGAATTGTTCCAAGTATATCCAGGAATGCTAACACTAATCACTAGTTATTCCATATTAATATACATTTTTCAGTCTCATGAGCCAAAAAATAACTTTCAGAACATTCCTAGCAGTTGAGTTGTCTGCCAGATCAAATCACTGTCATCAACTAGCATTTGTAAGTGACTCATGTATACACTAGGGGTTTAACAGTCTCTGTTAAACCAAGAAAATGTGCATGATACCATATCAGGATAGCAGTTTTGGGAGCAAGATTTTTCAGAGTGTTCCACAACCAAACCATGGTAGAAACACCAGAGAAGCTCATTATAAATGGGAATTTCTGGGCTTCATATAAATCCTGTTGAATCAGAATCCTTGGAGTATATGGCCTAGATTTCTGCATTTTGACAAGTTCCCATTGATTCTCAGGACTCTTGTTACAGAGGGCTAGTGCTCATACCTCTGGAACTTTCTGAAATAAGAGGTAACAAATAAGAAAAAACTACCAACCATTTTATTAATGACATACTTACCTGAATATATGTGAAGTGATTTTATTATTGGAGGGTTGGAAAAAGAGAAACATGATAATAATTAAGGAGTAATATTTTTTTAGCAGTGACTACTAAGAAATGGAAAAGTAGAGTTAAACTTGACAAATAAGCCAGGAACACAGCCCAGCAACCCAGCTTGCTTAAAGTCTCAGACTAAAAATATGCCTTTGGTAGGGATAGCACTGAAAACCCACCTGCTATATGGATTTGCATGGGCCCATACTCCATACATAATTTCCATTTCCCTTTGTTTCATATGTTCTTTTTTTCCTCTAACTTTAGTTTATTGTTATTTAAAATTTAATCTGATTTACAGTTTTCACAAATGGCTGAGGACTTCAGACTTTTGAGGATTAAGTTAAGGCAGTAGAAACATGGAGAGAAACTAAACAGAAAGAAAGACACATCACCCCAATTAAGTTGTCCTATAAAGAGTATGGATAGAGAAGAGAATCCATCCCATAAAGCAAAAAGACAGAAACTGGAGGAATAAGATATCAAGAACTACAAGGGTTCTGCTAGTTTCATGGATGCTGGCAGAAGACAGACACAAAGGTCCGGTTAGTGCTCTGAGCAATAGTCATAACCAGAGTATTGTCATTTTCTAGCATTAGTTTCTCAAGCTCCAATGAGTATAGGGTGTTATGATGAAGACTAGCTGACTCCTATACATATCTTACATAGTAGCTATGCCATAGCTGAAGCAGTGAACTTGAGACACTAAGTTTCTTTATAACGGCAATGAGAAAACCTGCCCTTCACCACAGAGGAAGACATTACATTTATTATAGTGGACCATAACCAAACCTGTCTTATGGTTCAAAGGGAGAACTACTTCTACCATCTAAGATTGTAAAAAAGAATCAAAAACAAATCTCTCAGTGTCTCTGCATGAGAAACTCTCAGAAGTATCAAAGTCCCGTGAAGAACTATCTTCCAACACAAGATGGAGCAAGAAAGTTTGGAGCAAAATTACTTCACCTGAAGAAAGTACTTGAATTCTTTTTTTATGATGCCAGAGAACTTAGAATAAGTATAGAAGATTCTGTGAATCACTCTATCATAGGAGGATAACAGGAAGATAAAGGTAAAAGTGGGAGAAAATGGAAGGGAAGTACTTTTTTCCCCATATTTTATTGGTGCATTATAGTTGCACATAATGCTGAGATTCATTGTTACATATTCATACATGCATATAATATGACAATATAATTTGGCCAATATCATTTCCCAGTATTTCCCCTTTCCCTCCTCTCTCCCTCCCCCTGGTCTCCTTTACTCTGCTGATTTGTTAGGGAAGTACTTTCTAAGTCATTACATGGACTACCTTTTTAAATAATTCATTTCAGGTAGGTAAAGTAGAGTCATAAATGGAATGTTGCTGCAGCTATGACATTAATTTCTCTCTCATTAAGTAATGGATCCAACATAATTTTTAAGTAATTTTAAATAGTTTTGTCTTTTGCCTCTCCTTGAATCATACTCTGAAAGCTTTTTATGAATGTTCCATGAAGTAGTGTTTCACAATGATTGTGCTTATTTGCCTTGTGTTTAATATTACTTGTGTTCTATAATACTGATGTCACACGTATACAAGTGATAGCTAAGGTGCATAAGTGTGTGTATGAACAGTGCACATGTATTCCTGTTTGTGATAAAGTTCACAGAGTTTTAATTTGTGTAAACTGTCCCTTGAAAAGGCAAAGATTGAGAGATGCTTATGTATTTTACCAAGTTGATTTCCCAAAGGAAATTAGCCAAAACCAAACTTTAGTCCACCAAAGTTCAGAATTGAGCTCAGCATTCTCTGTTGCTAGCATGAAACTGCACATCACCTGATAACCTGCAGACTCCCTGAGGATGGTGTCATGCCAGGATCAAGGCAGGTCTTCATTTTATTGCTCTTAATCAATATTGATTGTATATATGGAATTGAAATAGCTTTGTGAGTTATAATTTGAAGAGAAACTCTATTCTTTTTTCCAAAATAGAGTTCAAGATTAAATTTAATAAATTTTCATAAGCTCTAGTATATTCAGTCATGTGTTAAGTCAATTTGAGGAAGAGATTTAGGCCCCCTGTAAGTTTCAAATGTTTACTGTTTTATAGTTTGTCTAATATATCTGCCACGTATACTATATATAAAAAAACACATGTATAATAAATAAGAGCCTATTTGAAAAAAATTGTGTGTCTACAACTTTAATACAGATTTCCATTCAATTTAGTCAAATAGATTCATGAAATGATTAATATAATTGACTTATAGAAATTGGGCTGGTTTGCTGATTGAACAAATCAGTTCCTTTTGAGTTACTCAAACAAAGACTTACTATAGGAGAAGAAAAGTTGTGAGCCACTAAATTTAGGTTGTGGGATTATTTCTGAATAAGGTAACTAGGTAATTATTCTCCTTGTATATAAATATATTTATTTTATTTTTGTGTATGTGTTTCTTATTAAATCAAAAACAAACTAATAAAATAATAAAAAAGTCACATACATTATCATTACAAGATCTTGGGAGGCTAAAACATACGTCACACACACACACACACACACACACTCACACACACACACACACAGGAGACACAGAGAAATAGATACACAGATCGACAGAAATTTGGAGCAGTTAAGAAGCCAGTGAATTTAGTTTTGGACAGATTCCCCATCTTATTTGAACTTGTGTTGTATCTCTAGCGGTAGCCTCATGCCCACAATTTTTATTGTCAATTACAAAATGGAAGAGTGAATAAGTCTCAAAAAACCCATGGACTTAACTGAATGAGGGAAAACAGGAACTCCTGAAGTCTGAAGGTCTAGTAACGAAAGGAGAGATCAGAGTCTAGGAAACCAGCAAAGCTAACTCATTGGATGTCAAATCATCATACAATGTAGACCCATGCAGAAAAGCAGAATCCCAGGTCTTAGAAATCAGCAAAGCCTGGAAGATTCAATTCTTGCTGTTCTATGGTCTTGTGACAGAGCTTTTTTTTTTCTCCACTCTCTTATGTATTCTTGTGAGGAGCAGCTGTTTCAGAAATGTGGTCCTTGTAGTCAGATATGATTTT